ATATTTTATTTTACTGTAGTGGAGTTTCAAAAGAAGATACATTTACACAAATCTAAATGACCCAGACTCTTACACTCTTACTGTTCCCGGTCAAATGTGACTGCAGCCAGCCAGTGTATGAGCCTTTTTTTGTAACGCTTAAGAGGGTTGAAGCCGTTATTAATTCATTTTCCTTTATTTGACAATGCCTGGTTATTTATGACACTGATATGTTCTGTTCAGTGCCTGTTTGCCAACTAAATGGTGGGCGTCCATTACACTCCCTTTAGTTGGTTCATTGTAACTCAGGGAAACATTTGACACCATTCAGTGACACTGACTTTAATAGACCCGGTCCGGTGTGTGAGCACTACACTCAAGCAAGATGGATGACTACATTTTTTGTTAGGTAATTTTGTGACCATAGAGAGGTACATAAATGTAAAGGGTTCGCCAGGGTATAGTACAGCTAAACGGAAACAAATCCAATTTCAGCAGTAATTGGATAAGTTTAATTAAGTCTTGGCACTGTCTAGGAGTCAGAGATGCTCAAACAGAAAACAATAAATTTTTTATGGTGCTGCATATGAAATCAACCATTCATTTCCAATGCAAATATATGAAATTCTTTTTTAATTACAATTTTGATTATTGCACCTCTAGCAGAAATCAACCTGTGCCTCAGTGCAATTATTGCAGTTATCTAATGTGAAAAGAGCTAAATCTTTTTAATCCATTTAAATGTCTCATTTAAATGCACAGTAGATTAGCTAAATAATGTCTGAATAAAGTTAATGCACTCATTCATTAAAGCACTCTAAAAGTTTGTTATTCGGCAAAAGATTTAAGTTTGAGGCAGTTAACATATATTAAATGAAATATCTTTCCTAAAATTGCAGTGGGTTTAAAAAGTATTAAGCTACATAAATATATGGATTTCATATTAGATAGAAAAACATAACCTTGTGCATTTGATGGTTTTTGTAATGACTTTTAATCAACTACTGTCCATTTTTAGTGGATGCAAGTCGGTTTTATTTTTCATCCGCCATTACTCCAGGCTTTAGTGTCTTATGATTTGTGAAAATTGTTTCTACACCATTTTTTTT